TCCCTGGCTGCCGCAATATGAATTAGTGCCTTTCTTTGTGGATATTTAATTGGGGAGACAACACGGAGCAACTCAAACAGTCGGAGGCAGCATAGAGGTTGCCAGCACGCTCACCTCAGAGCAAAGCTCAAGGCTTGCGTTGAGCAGAGCAGGGACTTCAGCCTCGTGCTTGAACCCCGCCGTGCTTGAACCCTCCTGTGCCCTGCTGTGAGTATTTGCTGCTGGAGATAAGGTGCAGCTGCCCGGTCTTCCTGCCTGCACGTCCTGCCTGTGTTAAATTAAGAGCACACATATCTAGCAAAAACCGGGATGGAGGAAGACAGCGAGGGAGGAAGACACTGTTTTTTTCACTTTGCGGTGGTTTGTCCCCAAATTAGAACAGTCCAGCCCCCAGCCTAGTAATGTGCAATTAGTATGCTAATTCAACATAATTAACCATTAACCATGTAACTGTGGTTCCGTATTAATTTTGCACTAATTAAGAGTTGACTTGCAATAGATATCAGCAGGTTTTGCAAGAATGAGTCTTGGTTCAATGCTGACATGCCCTGGTCTGTCCCTCAGCTGATCATGGTTGCTGCACCAAGGAGATACCCCGTGATAAATAAGATAAATAAGAAAACTTTGCTTTCATATCATCTTTTACTTCTTTTTTTCTCATTTCTTTTTAGTGAACCTTACGGTGCCATTTCTCATGCTCTGCATCTCCTTCTCTCGGGCTCAGAAGCCTTACCCTGCTCTCAAAGTACTATTGTTCATCACCATATGGGATAAGGCAATTATTAGGCATATAAATTTTCATTTTATAGGACAGTTCTCATTCCCTGAGGCCAACACTTACTGTGGTAGATCTCATTTCTTTCACCCTCTTTCAGTCGACTACACGTGAGTATAAATTACTGCCGTCCCCACTGTGGCAGCACCTAATGGACCCGGTTTGGCTGGAGTTGCAGTGCTGGGCACTGTACAGACTTACCAAAAGATGTAGTCCTTCTCTAAAGGACTTACAAGCCTTGTGACATGCCTATGTAAGGAGTTTTCATTTACATATTTTTGTGCATGCCTAACCGATGTTTCAATTATACCTACTTGTCCTTTTAGCCTGTTCTTAATTAGCTGTGGATATCATAGAAGGAATGTGTAAACACAGAGATCAAAATATTTTCTAAAATAGAAGCCAGGGAGGCTTGATTGTGGATTTCCCTTTCTTGTTTTGATTCCTTTTCTTTCTGCATCAACATTTCTGCAGTTATCAGTAGCATCATTGTATTGCTCATAATTACTTTCTGAGGAAGAACGTCAAATCTTCTGCTTCTATTCAGACTATTAAAATTGCTCTATCAATCATCCTGTTTTGAAAAACATAATAAATTCAGCCCTTTTTGGATAGCTATAAAAAGTTTCCAGCTCTTTCTCTTGCCCAGAATAGTATGAGAAGATAGGTAATAGCATCTTACCAAGTCATGTTCTTGTTCTCTGAGTAAACTGGTCCTGGGGACCAACTAAAAGTCTGTGGGAGGTGTAATTCTCTGCGATGATGTCTGAGATGAATTACCAGCCTTCTGCATGTTATCTATATTGCATTTGACCTAAGAGGTCTCTGATAGCGTCCCAAGGCCTCTTAATAGGCTATGTAAAACCACATAGTGGAGGGCAGCAATGAGATTTACCTACTCTTCACTAATTCTTTTGGTTTGAGGACTAAGACCTACCAAGATAGGAATGTCTTCAGCTCTAACCCAGTGCTTGCCCCTGTGTATGTTTGAACCCTGGTAAAGCAGGCTGGAAAAATAGACGGGACAAAGTTAAATCTTTGCGTCTGAAAGGCGTCTGACCAATGTGTTTGTAAAAGCCACTCCATCTAGTGGCAGCCACTCTGCACAGCCAGTCTGGCAGTGCCAAGCAAAAGCCACAGGTTTCTGGGAGAAGTAGCGCAAGTAGCGTCCACCTTGGCTTTTGGCGTTTGCTTTGTTTTTGCTCCTGAAGATAAAAGATGCTTGAAGTTTGTATTTATTTTTCAATCCTTATCTATGACGGAAATTCACTGCAACTGATTGCTGCGTGCGGTCGTGTGATTGCACAGGAAGTTTTGAGCACCACACTGTCCTGCAGGGATCTTTGCTGCAGTGCAGAGCTGTCACCAGGAGCCTCCAAGGACGAGGGATTTGGGCTGAACCCCTTTGTCCTCAAGGGAGGTTGGAGAAGAAGCAGCTGCAAAGGCTCCCAGCGTATTCCCCTTCAGCCATCAGTGGCTTTCGGGCAGTCATGATTTGGATTGCACCAGAGCAAGCCACAGAGGGTGGCCTGGATGCATGCATGGAGTCCCCTTCCTGACCTTCCTGGTCAGCTGTGGAAAAAAAACTTGCTGCAGTTCAGTGAAGCTCAGTGTTGGAGCTTGCACCGGGGCAAGCTGGTATCTAAATTAAAACAAAGTGAATTCCAGTAAAGTGCAATTCCAGAACATGTGAATAGCTGTTTTACTGCAACTTTAATAAAAATCAACTGCTACTTGAATAGGTGCATGCACATATACTGCTAGAAATTTCCAATTATGATATTCCCAGCAGCAAACAAAAACAAAATTAATGTCAGCTGCATCCCCCAAAGCCTAAACTACACTGCTAATGAACTCCCAAGCACTCTCAAAGAAAACTCTTTGCAGAGACAATAAGGTGGAAATTACTGTAATAATCTCAATGTAAAAATACAGAGGGAAAAAAAAATCATTGAAATTCCAAGTAAGCCCTGCCTCTACTGATCCCATTAACTGTGTTGTTAGCATAGCATCTGCGGGCACAGCGATACTGTCACATAACTCAGTGACACCTTTAAAAGCGCGCCCAGGAATTCGTGTTCTCTCATTTGTATTTCAAACAAAAGGTAGGGGTTGGGACACGGCTCACACCTTATTATGGAATGTGTCTACTTAACATGACTCCAGCAGGGACTATCCACCTCATAACAGTTTGTTTGTCTCTCCAGCAGAAGCGCTCAGTTGCATACGATTTTTGAAGCTTTACTCAAACATAATCTTCTCAACATGGGGCTGTGGCTTTAATCATTGAAATGGTTGTCTTCCTTCTTTCAGAAGTGAGCTGGCGTCACAAAGAATACCACAGCCATCTTCACATATTTACAGACCTCCTTGATTATGTATATTCTTTTGAGTTTTCAAATGAATAACACATTCTTCACTCTTCTTTTGAAACTAGTGTTACTATGCCAAGATTGAAGTTGCCAGATTTCACCCCAAAGCAGACTTGTCACTTGTTAGCAGGGTCAGCTTTTGCAACACGTAGGATCTGCAAAATCTACTAGGAACAGCTGTAAAGCACCTTCTGGCAGAAGAGGGCCTTATGTTCAGTCTAGTGACGTTCATTTTCATGCGCAGCTCTGTGACATTTCCCTCACTCTCTGCTCCAACCCTCAAAATTAAATTCCTTAATATAGTTTAGGATTGTCTGTCTATTTTATAATTTTTTATTGCTCTGCTGAGCCAAGGGGCCTGCAAAAGTTGACGCAGCAAGTGCCCGTGTTGTGTATTAGACCATCCTGACAAGTGTTTATACTTCTTGTTTGTGCTACTGAAGTTGCACTGTTTCCTGGAGATCTGGGTTCATGCACTTCCTTTAAAAAGCACTGTCCAGGCCTGCTGAATCAGATGGAAAGCTTCATATTAGTGAACTGTGTAAAAAATCTAGAGCATCCAGATGCTGCCAAGTGTAAGTGCAGTAGAAACGTCTTGCTAGCCAAATGATCTCTGCTTTGTTTTGGAAATGCTAATGATTTTGTCTATTTTTAGTGTTTGTATTGTTGTAAAGAGAAAGCCTTTTCCTCTTTTTCTTGTTTTTAAAGGAAAAGCTGATCAATATCGCTTGCTGCGCAAGAATCCTCAAAGAGTTGAGGTGATCAGCACTCTGGATTTTAACTGCTAATATCTCGTGGCCTTTCCAGCCATTTATTGTCAACTGTATGAATTGCACAGATTGAGTCATTACGAGACTGTACATGGTATCACTAATTCCTTGGGTATTTCAAACAATTTCCTCTGCTCTAAGTGCATGAAGAAGCTTTTAGTATTACTGTTGCTGATGTAATTGCCTACATGTCCCATAGCAGATGCAGCAATGTGGTAGCACACAAAAGCAGTAATTCTGTCTCTTCTTTAAATTAAGACCACTCTGTGCCACTCTGGCCATGGAAAGGTACCTTAAAGCAGATGTTCAATGCATATTAAGGGCAATGCATATATAATGAAAGTGGTATAAAGGATAGCAGTATGAGCAGAGCTGTAGAATCTCTTCCACATCAATGCGTGTAAGATGCTGAGATGCTGATGAGCCTGTTTTAACAGGAGCAGCCACATCAGGACTTAAGTCTTGCACAAGTCATCACCTATGTGTGAAGGCTGGGCATGGTGGGGTTCAGAGAGCTATGACTACCTGGAGTCCATCTCTTCGGATCCCAATTTCTAAGAATGTCCTCAATGGGAAGAGTTACATTTCCATGAGTCTTGCATAAGCAGAGGCTTCTCGTCCTTTTTGCCTGGATTTTGGATCAGCTCTAACATCACTGTGCCCTGTTTTTCTAGGCAACAGCTCTGATTGAGGCTTCTGATTTGAATAAAACAGGTCTCTCTTACACCCACAGATTTATCAGTGCTGCTCACTTTTTCTGGAATTGTGGATAGAGCTGGGTAAGAAAACACCTCCTTCCTGTAGTCCAGGCATTCCCGTTGCCTTGGTTTGGTTAGGAGCAAAAAGTAATGTGTGTAATTAATGTGTAATAAAGAGTATCGGAGCTCTGTATATTTATAGCTGAAACTACTTGCAAATCAATTTTCAATAGCAAATCTAGGATCTTACTGTAACAGGGCATTGTGAATGTACAGACGTACAGGGTGAGCTGTGAAGATCAGAGTGCTTGACTCCTTCCTTGTTTTGCCTGTTGTTAGGATTTCAGCACTTGTGATGCTTCCTGAAAGAGAAGAAAAAAAGGGGATTGTTCAGTTTAAGGCTATTCCTGCAGGTGCACTTGGTGTTGTCTAAATGAAGCAAGCCCAAGGAATATTGGTCTACAAGGCATTTTACAATCAGAGCCTAAGTTCCGATCTAGGGAAAAATATCTTTCTGGTGAAGTGGTTCAAAGCATTTTGACGAGAAATGAAAATTACTTTCCTGCAGCATTCTCCACTTTCTGCACCTTCTGTTTGAGTCACTTTCTAGTAAAATTCCAGTTCTAGTGATTTCAGATGTTTACTTTCTAAGTGCTCGATTCATCCTCACTACTGCAGGTGGCCACAGCTAGACCTTCACTGAATACAGGAGAAAGGTCAATGTTGCTTGACGCAGTTCAACTAAGTTGTTGTGGAGTTTCTCCCTGTTTATCTTAATGAAGTTTGATCTTTTCCCCCTCTAGGATTTCCTCAGATGCGTTTTCCCCTCCCCAAGTCTCTCTGAAGCCAACATAAAACAAGACTGGGGTTATGAAGTCAGTCCTAGATGGCCTCGCGGACACCACTTTCCGAACGATTACAACAGATCTCCTTTACGCGGGCTCCAACGATATCCAGTACGAAGACATGAAGGGTGACCTGGCATCCAAGCTGGGGTACTACCCCCAGAAATTCCCTTTCTCTTCCTTCAGGGGTGATCCATTCCAAGAAAAAATGACTGCAGGAGATGATCCCCTGTTGAGCATAATTCCATCTGATCAGATCAATATCACAGAGTTTTACAACAAGTCCTTCTCCACCTTTAAGGATAACGATGAGAATATACAGTGTGGGGAGAACTTCATGGATATGGAGTGTTTTATGATCCTGAACCCCAGCCAGCAGCTGGCTATCGCAGTTCTGTCCCTCACGCTGGGCACCTTCACTGTCCTGGAGAACCTCCTCGTCCTGTGCGTCATCCTTCACTCCCGAAGCCTTCGGTGTCGACCCTCCTACCACTTCATTGGCAGTCTGGCCGTGGCTGACCTCCTGGGCAGTGTGATTTTTGTCTACAGTTTTGTTGATTTCCATGTTTTCCACCGGAAGGACAGCCCTAACGTCTTCTTGTTCAAACTGGGTGGAGTTACAGCCTCCTTCACCGCCTCTGTAGGTAGCCTTTTCCTCACGGCAATAGACCGGTACATATCTATACACAGGCCGCTGGCCTACAAAAGGATTGTTACCCGACCAAAGGCCGTCGTCGCGTTCTGCGTCATGTGGACCATTGCTATTGTAATAGCTGTGCTTCCGCTGCTCGGCTGGAACTGCAAAAAGCTCAATTCTGTTTGTTCGGACATATTCCCCCTCATCGACGAGACATACCTGATGTTCTGGATCGGGGTCACCAGCGTGCTCTTGCTGTTCATAGTGTATGCCTACATGTACATACTGTGGAAGGCTCACAGTCACGCTGTTCGAATGATTCAGCGTGGTACTCAGAAAAGCATAATCATTCAGACTACGGAGGATGGGAAAGTACAGATCACTAGGCCTGATCAAACTCGTATGGACATCAGATTAGCCAAAACCTTGGTCCTTATCCTAGTTGTACTAATCATATGCTGGGGCCCTCTCCTCGCCATAATGGTGTACGATGTCTTTGGGAAAATGAACAAGCTCATCAAGACTGTCTTTGCATTCTGTAGCATGCTCTGTTTGCTGAATTCGACAGTGAATCCCATCATCTACGCGCTGCGGAGCAAGGACTTGCGGCACGCGTTCCGCAGCATGTTCCCCAGCTGCGAAGGAACCGCGCAGCCGCTCGACAACAGCATGGAGTCCGACTGCCAGCACAAGCACGCCAACAACGCGGGCAACGTCCACAGGGCTGCCGAGAGCTGCATTAAGAGCACAGTTAAGATTGCCAAAGTCACCATGTCTGTCTCCACAGACACAACTGCTGAAGCATTGTAGGCCAGAGACTTCTCAGCATTGTGCAGAAAGGAAAAAAAGTTTGAAAAAAAAAAATCAACAACAACAGAGAAAACCAAACCCGTGGCTTAATGTGTTTGTACCCTCCTGTAATACTTCTTCGGTTTGTCATTGTAAGCTAAACAATGATTGTGTTCAGAGCATTACCATCAGCCAGTTCTGCAAGTTTTACAATTAGGGATTCAAATGATATTCTCAAAAGGGTTTTTTTTTTCCCTCTTAAAAAGTATGTACCAAGTAATAATGCGTTTTCTGAAAGGGCACAGTAAAAATATCAAATTAGCAGAAGTTCGTTTTGGGCGTGTAAAGACAAATTGTGAAACCTAATTGAAAACTAATGTATCCTAAAACAATGTCATCAAATAAGAAAAAGCCATGTAATCATGGTGTTCATTTCAATGTGTAATGTATTCATGTCTGTAAGTAATAGGAGTTTTGTTTTTTTTTTTTTCCAAAAGCGGCAGTACTGAGTTTTAGAGATTTTGTAAAATGTGTTGTGTCCTGTGAACCGTATGCTGTTTTAATCTGTGTTATTGATATTTGTCTGATTAAACAAAGTGATAAGGTAGACTTATGTGGAAATAATGTGAAACATGTGGTATGTAAACCCCATTGAAAACACTTGCTGTGTTTGAACAATTCCTATGAGTTATTTTGAAAATTTTACACTTTTAGTGGTCTTCTGTGGACTTAGAGCAGAGGCTTTGTGTTCTTCTACTAAAATTATTTCCCCATTACCCTTTACTTTCACATGCGTACGAGAATAACAGCAACAAGGGAATAGAGAAGGAATATAAGAGAGGAATGCACTGGTCCAGACTTTTAAATACCACTGCGTTTATACAGAAGGACATTCACTGTTGTACAGACTCTTGCCCGTCTCTCGGGCCTTGTGTGAATATGAACACTGAAAAGAGAAGGTCCCGGATATTGGCTCCTTTAGTGGGCAGCTGTTTTTAGTGCCATGCTGGTGCTGGACCTCTGAAGACAGCATGTATAGGACACGATGTGTAATTCCATCACTGTGCCGTTGATGTATACTTGAACTGTGTTTCATTCCTGGTCTAAGCAGACTCAGAGCCTGAGATGCCACACTCCAGTCTTCACTAGGAGAGGAGGAAATATTGTCAGTCTTAGACATTTTCTTATTGTGTGAGCGTGTATATAAGTAAATATCTATGTGTGTGTATGTATGTATGTGCGTGTGTGCGTGCGTGTGTGTGTAAGTACACTAATAAGTGTGAGTCATGGTAGCATAACTAAGATAGAACACTATGACCAAATGTAAACTGTTTTTCTTGTTGCACGCTTTGCACACGAATTCTGTTTCTAAAATTAAGTTCTTCCAACTGGGTAGTGATGAAGGTACCATATTAAGAACATGCAGATCCATGCTGAGATGCAGGCATGTGTTAGGGAAAGTAGCCTTTTAGTTATACTTGGGAATGAGGTGAAGCAAGAGGCAGAGTATGGCATGAGCCAGCCCTGGCAACTGAAAGTAGGTATTGAAAGTGTTCCCAAAAACTGAGAACACCAGATATAAATGGAAATTTCTTTTATGTTCTTCAGTATTTAAATCTTACTATTTGAAACGAGATGGGTCTCACTGTGAAACTAGGATACAGTTGACAAGGTTTGACACCATCAGCTTCAAGGCAAGGAAGGAGAAATTATTGAATGAAAATTGCAACTTTGTTCCATGATGGAAGTGATTTTTACCATCTGGGACATTGTCAAAGAGCATGTTTTTGAAGAACCCTTGGAACACGGATATTCTGTAATTCCATTCTAAATCAGAGGTATGAGCCTTGTCTTCTGCTGCCTTGCATTTTGGACCATCTCCTGATCCTTGTTCTGGCTGATTTCTGCCCAAATCACTGTTAAGCCAGCTTAGCTGCCTGAGAGGAGGGACAAGAGAGGAGACTCCCTTTTTGGCATGGGGCTGGCGGGGCCCAATATGTGCTGTCCTGCAGCCGTTCCTTGGGGGTTACTTAGGGAAAGGGAGTATAGCCGGAGCCCCGGGTGCTCCTGGATGACTTGATGTCCCCATGGCCTTTCTGAAATCTCAGTGCAAGTCAGAGCAGCCAGTAGCACGAAAGGCCAAGCTGCTTTGGGCACCAGGACAGTGGAGGTTCAAGCTCAGCGAAGACTTGGTGTGGCATGGCAAGAACCATGGCTGGAGAGCATTCCCATAGGACGTGTGAGTCCTCCTTCTCAAAGACCTTTCTCCTATCTAGATGTTGTGCATCCTAAAGCAATCCTCTAGGCACTGGCGGGTGGGGAAAGCCCACTTGAAATGTAAAGGTATTTTAAGAGCCATTTTTGAAACTGTCTTCTTGTGAACTAAATGCAAATTTTGTGGACTTATGTTGTGCACTCAAGTTCTAAATTTTACATGATAAATCATGGGACAATGGGGCTGTCTTGGCACTTAACTTGGTGCTTATTGATATAATAAGAAATAGCATCCTGTGAAACATTACTGTCTATCATCACTATCTTCACTGCATAATGAGTTTTTCTAACGCTCTGAGAACTGTGTCGGATCACACAGAACCATTTATTAAAGAGCTGGCAACAATTTCCCTGCAAGTTGCACACTGAATAGACCTACTCTGTCATTAGAAAATCCATAGCCGTTCCAAGATTAGCTGTACTTAAAACTTCTGCTTTAGGTATTTCTAATTTGCAGTTGTCTACCTTCACTTAGTGATAGCACAGCCAATGATACTGTGTGCCACCACCACCCACACCGTCATCAAATAACTATAGTTCCAGCTGTATGTATACTTACCACCTTCAGGTGTTGTGTATCTATAAAGAAGACCATCTGTGTCACATGTGTGCAGAGTTAGGATTCTCAACAGTCTAATTGTATATTTGTATAATATAATCTCCTCGATGCTGTGCAATCACTATCCATGTTTTCTTGCACTGGCCTTTTGACAAAAATGTTAGTGTGTCTATTGTGAGATAGACAGCGCATTTTACCTGCTGTTATTGGGCTGAATGTATGTAAATAAGTGAAAAATAAAAAAGTCATCTGTACAAGCAGTGGCCTAAAAAGTCTGTAATTGTAGACTAGGACAGTTGTTGAAGTTGCTGTGACATCTCAAATACTACCTTTGAATAAACTGTTTACAGGGTCTCTTGGGATGCTGTTTCATAGAGAAAGGAAAAATCTTTCCTTGTGACAATATGAGGTAAATAAATTGGATTACCTGAGCTTTTTATTTTCAGTGTTTCAAAGTGAAGAACGTAACTCTTTATTGTCTGTAAATCTAACATTATTACTTCCTCTTAGAAGAATATTGTATCATTAGGTGTTTGTTTGAGCTGGTAACATCCTTGCAACTGCTGCAATATCTTTCGTTAGCAACCTGTATAATAGTTTGTACACAAGTACTGTTCAGATTGTCATTAAAAGTAGCTTTGACCATTTACTTACCAGTAGCAGAATAGCATTTCTGTAAGATTTCCAGTGTATTACCACCATATCATATTTTATTTCTATAATGTAATTAAACTGTTATTTATTCAAGGAGAAAAAAAAAGTATTCCTCTACTTTTTTTGTCTTCCAAATTTTGAGATGACTGAGGGAGCCATGTGATGATGCCGCCTCATGCCACAATCTGGCGCTCTACGTTTTGTTTATAAGTTTGTCTGTCAGATTCTGAAACAACTGCTTAAACAACTTGACAACACGTTGTCAAGCCTTGTGGGTTTTAATTGTACGTTGATATCTTTGAAGGAGGAGGTAGATTATGTATTTTATATTTGTGTATTCACTACTATGGAGACGAGAGAGAAATTACATAGTTAAAACCAAATCTCCTGTTCCATTATGTGGGCAATTTCCCCTTTCCTCTATATTAGACATATAATACAAATTAATACATTGCATACAAAATGCAATAAATCTCTTTGGTTTTCATCAGATGCATATGTTTGCACAAAGATGTCACATTAATAAAAAAACAGACTGCAGAAAAAGCAAAGAAAAGCAGGATAAAGAAATGCAAGCTAAAATAGTGCTGTCAATAAGAATAACAACCAACTAAATTATTTCTTGGCAGATGTAAATGTAATAGCAGATGTGAGGCAAACACAGAGATAGTCTAGATTTGGCCACTGCCACTGGGCATAGAGGTCCAGGCACATGTGGGGATGCTGGAGCTGTGTAATGGGACACATGGAAGTGCCCGAGGAGGAGCACACACTCAGCCATAGTTAGGCCACTCTAAAGGGCTCCCATCTCTGCTCCTCTCCAGCTAAAAAGAAAATTGAAAATCGCTTTGCATCTCTCTGTGGTCTCAAAAGGCTGATCCAAAGCCCACTCAATGCCACAGAAAGAGTCCTGCTCACTCCAAAGGATCAGTTTTCCATATGAATTAAGATTTGATTCAAATTACTCAGGTACTTTTCCTTCTCTGCATTTGTGGTGTCAAAACTATTGACGTCCTTCATTCAGTCCGGTAGCATGTTCTATGGCCTTGAATCATGGTTTTGACATATTACTTGTATTTTTAAATATTAAATCACTGATGAACGCTATGAAATTCTAGATAAAAGCAACTAGAGATGAAAGATTAGATCTTAATCTCTGACTGCATGCTACATTTAAATGAAGAAGTCTGAATATTTCTGCTGAAAGCTGTCACTATCAGAATAGCCAGAGAGACAATTCTGCATGTATTAGCATGTTCGCTAGTAAATAAGGACTATACTGTCACAAATTGACATTTCCTTTTGACAGTAACACATAACTGCATTTGTAAGTCTATTCTAAACAACACAAGAGGAAATAACGATAACTTTCCAAGCAACTGTTTTCCCATTTCATACCAAAACAAGAAGCATGCCGGCAAATATACTGTCGTCAATTCAGTCCTTCGCATTAAAGTTATTGCTTTTCCTCTTCTGGTAGCTGTTTTCAATAGTCACAAGATCATCATGCACACAGGAAAGCATAGTTTTGATCAATAAAATGTCTGCATTTTATTTGTTTTTTGTAAAGAGCTATTTCTTATCTTCA